ACTAAATCCAAGTTGAAATAAAAACCAACCAGCATTCAAAGGTCTTCAGAACACAAGAGAACATCAGCAGCAAATGAGTTGAAACTGTCCCTAAGAAGTGTCACAAACCCAATCAAACAAACGAGGAATGGCTCGGGACTTTTCTACGCTCCTGTATGAGGTCAGCGCTGTGGAGCCCTCCTGTCACAGCATTCTGTGGTAATGAGCTGAGCTTCAAGCATGGCTGGGTGGAATTTCCAGGGAGCCCTGAGGCAGAAATGTGTTGTTTGGCTCCCGTTAGCCTCCACATGACAACAATGGTGTTACTGTTTCACAGGAGGCAGCTAATGCACCTCGGCTGTTGGCTAACCAAGTCAACAGACTGGAAACGAGACGGCAACAAGCAGGTGAATAATTACCTCCTTGAGATGTTTAAATAGAAATGTCCAAACTTTTTATCACTGCAGTTTCTGCATTAAAGCAAAATGGTCAACAAGGAGATTCTTCTAATTTATAGTGTAATTCTCCAGGGTTTCAGTGTAGGGTGGTGCGCGTAAACAGGTTTCAGTTGGTTTAATTAGGATTTATGCTCCCAACACACACACACACACACACACACACACACACACACACACACACACACACACACACACACACACACACACACACACACACACACACACACACACACACAACGGAAGTTACGGTGTAACTATGGTTCTGTGAGTTCCTGGATGACTGCCAGTCACAGAGGTCACTCGGAACTTCTCTGGCGAGAAGATCCCGGGAGACCCGAACGTAGCTATCGGCGCGTAATTTATAGACTCGCGACCAGGTGCGCTACGTGTCACATGCGTGACTTTGTTTACATTAGTACTCGACCTGAGCAGAGCGCAAGGAGATACATCCACTCTGTTTCCTGCCACTGGCAGTCGGGAGGGAACGAAACACAACTCTGGTTTCCTCTGGTTGTCCTAACGGCTGTGATATCTCCCTGAAGTCTCCGACACCATAAAAGACATCGTAATGTATTTGTTCCAGAAACGCCAAGCAAAGATGAAGCTGGACTAGGGCTGAATGATTTAGGAAAATCTAATTGCGATTTATTTCTTCAATATTGCAATTGCGATTTCATTCACGATTATTTTCTCAAGGGGCTTTTCTCATTTTTCCACTAATGTAAGCAAAAAGCGTTTGTATCAACGCTCACAAGTAAAAACAATATGTTGTATTTTAAGGTGCAATGCTTGCAGCCAGGAGCACATCCATTGAAGGACCATAGGTATTAGCATCGATTGTGAAAACTGATTTGCAGGAAGTGTGTCCCATTCATTGAAGTATTTTGATTTTAGAGTTTTTGACGTTTTGTCCATGCAGAGGTTCCGTAGTTCAATTTCGTTCATAGCTGCTAGCTAGTGGAGTTAAAGTCTTACAGTTTTCTAGCTCAAAATATCTGTCTGTACTTATTTGATTAATAACAGTTTTAAGTTTTTATTAGACTCCAAATGTAATAATTTAGCACATTCCTAATTCGTAATTTTTAAGAATGTAATATTAGCATTAGCATCCCTACGGGTTTTTCAATGTATATTAGCATAGTGCTAACCTCTCACTGCCAGTCAAATTGCAGCCTTTGCGATTAGAAAATCTCCTTTTGTCACATCGCAATTTAATTGCATATGCAGTTAATCGTTCAGCCCTAAGCTGGACTTTATAAAGAAGTAATAGAGTGTAATTTGTGTCTGGTGATGGGTGTGTTCTCACAGCTGAAAGCTATCAGATGTTCTCCGTCTGTGTCAGGTCCACCAGGCAGAACTTTATCTGAACAGTATGAAGTTGTGCTCGGCATATAAAGTTAGTCTGCTCCGTCAGCAGGCCGCCTCCCACAGGAGGGAGTCCCTGAGCGTGGTGATCTAGAACCACCAGATCTGGGTGAGGGGTGGGGGGTAGTCTCTGTTACAGTAAAAGCTGAACATGGTCCGGTTCTGTGGTTGGTACCGGGGGATCTATGGACCGCTACCACATGTTGGCTGACAGCAGGACCGTATTGTCTCTGGGACAAATTCAGGCCAGGGAGCAGGCGCTGGTGTACTTACGGTCTCTGACTACAGACACAGCGGTCTTTGTCAACAGCGTGACGGCTCTCAGAAAGGTAAAGCAGGCTGCTGCCAGCCTGACTCTGAGATGTTTAAGAGTCTGAATGAGTGATCGGGTTCTGGTTGGGTTTGGCTTGTTTATACTCTGCTCTAAGGCCCGTTTCTGCATGTGATGATCAGCGATTCAACCACAAAATATAACAAGGGAAGGGTTTATGTCCTCAGGCTGTCTTCTTCTGGAGTCACAGTTTTAAGTAGGAGAACTTTAGAACTTGTGGAATATAAAATGATCATCAGAAAACATGAAGTTTGTTCAGACTGAACTTTATTTCCTACGGTCATAATCTATTAAAGCCTACTATGTCTCGGGAATCTGAACCAAGAGCCGTGTGCAGAGCATGTCATAAATATTAGCTTAATGCACATGCTAATCAGGGCCTGTGACAGACATTCTTATCTTGAGCCTGGTGCTCCAGGCAGATGGGTGCATCCACCCTTTGTGCATGCTGGGAAGCTTCTGCAGGGCGCTGTTGTGAATCTGGAAGCCCACGTGGTGCTCCGGGTTCCTCTGCTGCACCAACCATCTGCTGTGGATTTTTTAGCAGATATTTAATCAGATAATTTCTTGTGCACAGCAAATTGTTTAACTTACAGCTGATGTAACTGGCTGCTCATATTGTAGAGCGAATCGGTTTCATAAAGAAAACATCAGCTGCTCATTATCCCCAGCAGTGTTAAGTGAATGTAAAAGTATGACTCCCATCTAGCCTTTCATGGCTCTCTTTGATGCTCTCATCTTTGTGCTGGCAGTGTTTGACATGATAACTGGAACCTTGTGTAACTTAGAGAGGTGCCCGTGGGGCTTGGATCCCAGTCAAAGGGGAGGGCTCATTGGGTTAAACGCCAGTCGACCCCCATCCAGGTAAAAATCCTGCGTTTGTGTTTTGGACTCGGTGCCAGTGACACAAGCACAGAGGCCACTGGCTTACTATTTCAGGGGTTGGTGGGCTCCAGAGAGTCCCTTCTCCTGTTCTCCCTGTGTGGCTTTGATCCCAGTGTTCCACAGAGACACACAGGAAGACCAAAAAAAAAAAAAAACTGCTGCAGAAAATAAAACAGAAGTGCTTCTTTGTGATTCTTGTTCCTCCCCTGGGACACGAGCGTGGTAAACCCTCAAAGGATCAAAGTTTGATCATGAGCAGGGTTTATTTTGCACACTGTTAGAGTCCTCACCACACACACTCACACACACACACGCACACACACACACATGCACACACGCACACACACACACGCACGCCTGCAGATATATGTAGACAATAAAGCTCTGTTGAACTTTCACAGTTTACTGTGAAAATACTATGCAGATGAAGTTTGTGTTTACGCCTGTGACGTAGGCGAGCGCGGCACAGTCAAATCCAGCTGTACACTTAAAAAATAACCACTCTGATCAAAGACGCACCGACAGGGAGAGGCCCCTGGAACGCCGCAGGAAGAGGAAGAATCCTTAAGAGTGCACGTGAGAAAACAGGAGGCTCCGACTCCCAGGGGGAGAAGGAGAAATGAGGATGACGAAAGTCGGGGATGTGAGGAGTTAATGCTGAATAAACTGGCAGCGTCTCACAGCATCCCAGTCCACGTGAGAATGACGACTCCTACACTGTTGTTGAAACAAATGCTGCCTTTCCACCTTCAATAGGAGGTGAGATGAGCTTTATTTCGGTTTCTTAGATGCGTTTTGAGAAGGAGTCTGCTGTAAGAACGTGGACAGATGCAGATAAGTGGAGCTGTAGCTTTAAGCTAACAGGTTGTTTTTACTGCAGATGTTTTAGACGGTTCATATAAAAACGCTTTTCTCTTGCTGCAGCGTCAGGAAATGTCTTTTCTGCTTTTTATATGAATATTAGTGTGTTTATTTAAGGAAAGCCAGGTGTATTTTTGACATACCTGTGTGTTTTACTTTGCACTGTTTTGTTTTTGAAAACTCAAACGACTTCCTTTAATTTGGGACACATTCCTCAGCCGTGAGAAAAATGCAGGTCTTAATAGCATAAGCGTATCAGAACCCAAACCTGATTTATAGGATCTCAGACCTGGAAGCTTAGCTGACCTGCACAGCCGACAGACCCACAAACCCAAATTCCTGTTTGTTATCTGGGAAAGCATTCAGAATCAGAAGCATGTGATGCAACTCTTGGTTTAAATCCGTAGCGTGTCGTTTCTTTTCCAACTGTGGCCAAACTAAGCGACGAGTGCGAGAGTGGCTGTGATCCAACCTATCATTCAGCCTGAAGCCTTCTGGAAATGAAACGAGTCGGCTCCAATCAGCGCTGCGCCCCGAGCAGGAGGAGCACCAGAGAGTCTTCTGCACACGAAAGCGGAGTCGTAGCGACGACTAGTTTCTTATTTGTCTGCTTTGGGATGAATGTTCAACACAATCACACAGCTGGGTCTGCTTCTCCCTCCCACCCAGTTAAAGGCTAACTGGTCCCACCTCACAGCTCAAGGCTAATGGAGGGGGATGTAGCTCCGAGTGGAGCAGATGGTCCCTCAGCGGGACAAGGGCAGGCCAAGGCTTCCGCTGTAGCCTTTTGTCCGAATGGCTGAAACTAATCTGTAAGAGACCCTCACTAGATTAAAATAACAGCTTCCTAACAAGGTTTCACTGTCTAGTTTACTTAATAACTTATGGAGAAAACTCTTTAACCTGTACTGTTCAGGCCAGATACTGGTGGATGGTAACAGAACACACACACACACACTCACACACACTTGGCTCAGACCTACAGAGACCTTGGTTACTGAGAGACACCATGAGAATCAGACATGAGCAAAAAGAGAAGTGATCAAATGTAGATTTTATTATGATGTGTCCTTCACGTCCAGCTCTGATTGTAATTAGGTTGTGTTTGATCTGCTCCTCAGGAGAGGCAGCGACTGGAGACCATCCTGACTCTCTGTGCCGAGTACAACAAGGGGGACAACATGGGGCTGGATGCTCTGGGCTCTGGGAGGATCGGCTTCCCTGGCAGCCTGAACGATGACTCTGGACGGAGGTCGTCTGTGGAAAACGTTTTTGGAGGGACACAATCGTCCCCAACGATGTCTCGCCTGGCTCAGAGACAGAGAGAGAGCGACGAGGAGAACCTGAAGGAGGAGTGCAGTAGTACTGAGAGCACTCATCAGGAGGTGAGGACGTCTCCTGCTGTCAGTGCAGCCGCGGCGCTGCACAATGGAGAGCGACAGGTCAGAGTCAGCTCTTCGTTGTTTCTGCATGCTGCTGAGGCTCCGGCATGTGAAAACCGTGTGCATGGCTCCATTTATCAGTACGTTGTGCTTTAGGGGCCTCAAGGGGCCCATGAGGAGGAGTCGGACTCCCTCAGGAGACATCTAACACTTAGAAGAGCAGCTCTAATGCATGTCCGTTCACCAAGGGAGACATTGGACACTTTCAGAGGGCTTTACTAATGCATGTGCATGTGGCGTGAACACCAGGCGCTGGTTCTGTTCAGGATAATTCCAACTTTACTAAACTAGAGCCACTTCCTGCTCCTTTGGTAATGATGTTTATTAAGTCTGTAAAGTATTCTCATACAGCTCAAGGTCGTGGACTCAGTGGTCTCCTTTAAAAAGCAGCTGAAGATTCACCTGTTCAAACTGGCTTTTGCGTGACCTTCACCACCCTCTCCTTATTCTGCTCTTGTTCCGCCTTTCTCCACGAGCCACTGATTTCTCCCTTTTCTTTACATTCTTGTCTTATCACAATTTTTATCTTGTTTTCCTCTTATTTTAAACACATTTATAATCATTTTTAGAAAAAAAAATTTATAGTTAAATTTTTTTTGTGAAGCACCTCGTGATTTTTATATTGAGAGACGCTATACAAGATTCTTTCTTTCTTTCTTTCTTTCTTTCTATCTATCTATCTATCTATCTATCTATCTATCTATCTATCATCTATCTATCTATCTATCTATCTATCTATCTATCTATCTATCTATCTATCTATCTATCTATCTATCTATCTATCTATCTATCTATCTATCTATCATCTTTCTTTCTTTCTTTCTCTTTCTTTTTTCTTTTCTTTCTTTCTTTTTTTCTTTCTTCTTTTTTTCTTTCTTCTTTTTTCTTTCTTTTTTCTTTTCTTTCTTTCTCTTTTCTCTCTTTTTCTTTCTTTCTCTTTTTCTTTCATTCTGTCTTTCTTTCTCTCTTTTTCTTTTTGTCTTTTTTGTTTCTTCTTTTTTTCTTTTTTCATTTTTCTCTCTTCTTTCTTTCTTTCTTTCTTTCTTTCTTTCTTTCTCTCTATCTTTCTTTCTTTCTTTCTTTCTTCTTTTTTTCTTTTCTTTCTTGCTTTTCTTCTTCTTTTCTTTCTTTCTATTTTCTCTCTTTTTCTTTCGTTCTCTTTTTCTTTCATTCTCTCTTTCTTTCTCTCTTTTTCTTTTTGTCTTTTTTGTTTCTTTTTTCTTTTTCATTTTTCTCTCTTGTTTCTTTCTTTCTTTCTCTTTTTCTTTTGTTCTCTCTTTCTTTCTCTTTCTTTCTTTCGTCTTTTTCTTTTTTCTTTTCTTTCTTTCTTTCTTTCTTTTTCTTTCTTTCTTTCTTTCTTTCTTTCTTTCTTTCTTTTTTCTTTTATTTCTTTCTCTTTTCTCTTTTTCTTTCTTTCTCTTTTTCTTTAATTCTCTCTTTCTTTCTTTTTCTTTTTGTCTTTTTTGTTTCTTCTTTTTTCATTTTTCTCTTTTTCTTTCTTTCTCTTTTCTCTCTTTTTCTTTCTTTCTCTTTTTCTTTAATTCTCTCTTTCTTTCTCTTTTTTGTTTCTTCTTTTTTCTCTCTTTCTTTCTTTCTTTCTTTCTCTCTTTTTTTCTTTTTTCTTTCTTTCTCTCTTTTTTCTTTATCTCTTTTTACTTTTTCTCTTTTTTCATTTTTCTCTCTTCTTTCTTTCTTTCTTTCTTTCTTCGTCTTTTTCTTTTTGTCTTTTTTGTTTCTTTTTTCTTTTTTCATTTTCTCTTTTTCTTTCTTTCTCTCCTTTTTCTTTCTTTTTTCTATCTTTCTTTCTCTCTTTTTTCTTCTTTCTTTCTTTTCTCTTTTCTTTCTCTCTTTTTACTTTCTTTTTTCTTTTCTTTCTTTATCTCTTTTTTTTCTTTTGTTCTTTCTTTCTTTTATTCTCTCTTTCTCTTTTTTCTTTTTGTCTTTTTTAATGTTTCTTTTTTCTTTTGTTTCTTCTTTTTTCTTTCTTTTCTTGGTAATGTCCCGCCTTTGCCAGAAGGGTTGAGGTGGGGAACGGGAGGTATTAAAACACTAGGCCTGTACTTGGGTAGTGAAAGGTTTCAGAAACAGAACTGGGAGAAGGTGCTGGAGAAGGTGGAAGCTGTCCTACAGGGGAAGGGTTCTGATAGCAAACAACCTGGTCGCCTCGTTTCTGTGGCATAGACTGATTGTACTGGTTCCATCACCGGGTCTGCTGGAAGATGTTCATAAGCTGTTGGTGAAATTCTTCTGGTCCGGTCACCACTGGATCAGAGCTTCGGCTCTTTGCCTGCCCGTGTCACGCGGTGTCTAGAACTGCAGCCTTCAGGTTACAGACGGCTCAGAAGCTTCTTTATGGTGACAGACTCTGCTTGCTCCCCCTGGCTCATCTCCTGCTGCAGAAGGTTGGTGGGCTTGGGCTGAACAAACACCTGTTCCTGTTGAGTCGGAAGGTGTTGGATCTCACAAGGATTAGTCCATTCTACTCGTCAGTGCTGGACACTTTTAAGCTGCTGACGGTTTCCCGAGCGCCTGACACGGGACCAGGGACATGGTTGCTACAAGAACCCTTGTTTGACAATGACTTCTTCTCTCGAGCTGGCATTTTAACTTCGTCTGCGTTGAAAGTGAAGTTCACCGATGCTAGGATTGTAAAGTTTGGTCACTTACTGAAGATCCCAGCTGGAACCCTTGGTGAGCGGGTGGATGTGAGGTCCACTAGAGTGATGGAGAGAGTGGTGGAGGAGGTACAGAGGTCCTTGTCTGTGTCGTAGAGAGCCTTCGTTGAGACTTGTACTCTATCTGACCAATGGGATGATGACAGTGAGTCTGTTTTTCCATCTCTGGAGGTTAAAGCAGCTGGTGAGGGTTGGCAGGAGGAGAGTGGATCACTGCTGAACCTGAACACCCCAGTGTTGGGCTCTTTCCAGTCTTGTGGGAAGAAACAGATCTATCACACTTGTGTGAAGGTTATCAATAGTCGCTCTTTGTTAGGAGTCAAGGAGTTGAGGTGGACTCAGGTGTTTGCTGTGGACGATGCCTCTGGGGGCAGCTGGAGGAGTTTGTATAAGTCTCCAGTGGAAAAAAGGATGGCAGACCTCCAGTGGAGGATCATACATGGAGCTTTAGCGACGAACAGACACAGAGCACGCTTTGATCCAAGCACCGGGGAGGGATGTCCTTTGTGTAACCAAACAGAGTCCCTAGAGCATCTAGTGGTAGCATGTTCTAGGTTATCATGAATGTTTAAGGTTTTGGAACAGTGGGTTAGTGCACTGGGGGAGGCTTTTACCCTACCCTTATTTGTTTTCGGGCCCAATTACAGTGTCAGAAAAAAACGGACAATATTGTTAATTAACTTTTTATTTGCATGTGCAAAACTAGCCATCTGGAAAACCAGGAAAAACTAGATGCTGGGACAGAGCTGGACTGATGCTGAGCAGAGCCTGAAGGGCCTGGTGTAAGCTCCTATAAAGAACTTACTGGGAACCTGGACTTCTTTAGAGCGGTGTGGGGGATCGGGCAGGTGCTCTGTCTGCTGGATGGTCAGGGCTCCCTAAAGATCAACTTCTAAACTGTGGGTTTATCAGTTTTCCTGGTTTTATTAGTAGAAAACAAGTTACAGTCATTAATGCTGTTTGTTGTTTTGTAAAGAAAAATAAATAATTTAAAAGTCAAGTCTTTCTTTTTTTCTGTCTTTTTTCTTTCTTTCTTTCTTTCTTTCTTTCTTTCATTCTTTCTTTCTTTCTCTCTTTTTTGTTTTTTCTCTTTTTTCTTTCTCTCTTTCTTTCTTTTTCTTTCTCTCTTTTTGTTTTTTTCTCTTTCTTTCTTTGTTTCTTTGTTTCTTTCTCTCTTTTTTGTTTCTTTCTTTCTCTCTTTTAGTTTTTTCTCTTTCTTTCTTTCTTTTTCTTTGTTTCTCTCTTTTTGTTTTTTCTCTTTCTTTCTTTGTTTCTTTCTTTGTTACTTTCTTTCTCTCTTTTTTGTTTCTTTCTTTCTTTCTTTTTGTTTCTTTCTCTCTTTTAGTTTTTTCTCTTTCTTTGTTTCTTTCTTTCTTTCTTTCTTTCTTTCTTTCTTTCTTTCACAGTTGATATAAAACACACATTTCTATACTTGTACTCTTTTTCCTTTATATTTAAAATCATTTGAAACATTATTTAACTTAATTATTCAATTTTTTTTAAAATCATGTAGTCACTCGTTGAGAAATGAAACCATTAATCTGCTACACGTGGGTATTGATTCAAATTTGGAGAATGGATTTGATTCCAATTCTCAAGGGTTAGAATCGATTATCATGGTCCGATCCAATTCAGTGTGTCCCAGTTCAGTATCGCTATGGGTCGGTTCTATTAAAACATTTTTATGTTTGAGCTGTTACCTTAATCATATGCTCGTTATTCAACGATGCAACAGTGGGTGGGTTACAATGCAACGGGGAAACTGTACTAACCCTTTCTGACCTAAACTTTAAAATGACTGTTTAGACTTTTCCCTCCTATTTTAGCTGGAACAGGACAAACTGTTACACAATTAAAGGTATGGGGGAGGATGTTTCTGGATTTCATGAAAGAACCACTCCACATTTAGAAAAAATGCCCATGAGAGAGAACGCCCAGTTATCTTCGTGCACGCTCGGTTCACAAGACTAACTTCTAAGCAGCAATCTGAAGTGAATTTCTCCAAATAGCATGGTGGGTTTTAGCTTACCTGTCGAGCAGAAACCGACGACAGAGGCGTCCGTGGGGAGCCCAACTTTCGCTTTCAGCGCACGCCATCGCTAAAACGAGTCGCCTAAAAAACTCTGGTCTCATTTCTCACTTGGGAGACACTTTTTCTCTTGCTACGCTCAGCCATTTTCACAAGAACCCAGTGAGAACGGCGAGGAATGAAGGCGTATCACTCTACATGTAAACAGAATGGTGCAGGAAGTGAAAACTAACCCAGGAATGAGTACGCACGACTACGGCCTTGCATGAAAGCTTCACCAGAATGATTGACAGTTATGTGGACCAATGGTTCAGATGATCCAACCGGAAGAAAGAGATCCTTTGTTACACCTTTAAATTTATTTCATTAGATTCTTAGAATTTTGATAAGAATGGGTTATTTGATTTTTATCGACACAGCAGCAGAATCTGCCATATGAATGTGAAATGTACAAAAATGAAACCACCTTCAGGTCGTTCCCTGTTTAGCCACACGGATCCAGAAATGGGCCCAAAGACAGGGAGCGTGTGGGTTAACACCTTGCAGCCTGGCTGTAGTATTGTGTTCTGTTAACTGCGACGTTCCTGCTGCGCTTCTGTGGTTTCCACAGGTGGGTAGAGAGAGTAGAGCACCTTTATGAGACTCACTGTTGTGATGATGATGATGAAGACTCATAATTGGGACGTTGAGTGTATCTGCTTGCTACCTCACAGCTAACCTTTCAACCTGCTGCGGTCCTTAAAATGTGGTGCTTTGATCAGATTTTGAGGCAATTTGATTTAATATGTTCCGCTTAACTTTTTGTTGTTATTTACGTTTAAGAACCCATAGAATAAAAGTCTCAGAAAACAAACACGCTTCACCTGAAATACAAACGCCATAACCGACGGTCTGCTAGTTTCAGACCTAATGCTGCTGCATGCCTGCTAAATATTAGCATTCAACCTGCCGTAGGTACTGAACAGTTCAGGATCGCTGTTGTATTTTTCTTTTCAGAATTCTCCTCGTACTTTCTGTTGGAGACAACATTGTAGGCAGGTCAGTCGGGCGCCGGTGCCCTCCACGCAGTAGATGTGGTTTGACCCTGAATGGATGCTTCTGAAAGACATGAGGTCCAATTCCTTAAATGTTTTATGATATTCTGCACCGTTCAGAGAGGAACGAGCCAGCCCCCCTCCGTCTGTCTTTGAGGAACATCCTTTGCTTGTTTTTGCTCTAAAAACTCAGTATTTCTCCCCTTGATACCCAAACCCGATCATGACCAACCATTAACTCAGCCTGTCTGAAATAAGGCCCTCATCTCTGTTTAGTAGAAATGTTTTGCAGCCTTGGTGTTCATGAATGGATTTCTGCTAACGGGTTGATGAGGCGACGTGTCAAACATCTTGAGTTCTTGTTTGATTTGTATTTATTTGTTCATAATTAGCATTTTTCAAATGGTTTTTGAGTTGAGTTGTATTTTTGCAGCCGTTTAGAGCTCGACTAACCTGACTGTTTCCTGTCCTGCAGCACGAAGACTCCCCCTGCTCAGGCAGCGCATATCGCTCAGAGCTGAGTTACCTGGAGGATGAGCGGCTGCGTGTTCTGGCTCACATTGATGAGCTGAAAACCCGGCTCACGGAGCTGGAGCAGCAACTTCAGGAGTCCAAACAAGAGGTGGAGTCAGGGGTTAAAGACGAACCCGGCTAGATTAACTGTAGATGCCTAATCAGCAGTATTACATTCTCATCCCAGATTAATGTTCCACATCAACTGTTAAAATCTCAGGATGATCTTTCTCCCGTTTCTAACCAATGACACGGTTTCTGTGTTTTTCCCTGGTGCAGGCAGAGATGGAGCGTGCCTTGCTGCAGGGCGAGAGGCAGGCAGAGCTGGACCAGGTAGAGGCAGAGACGGATGTCATCAGCCAGCTGCAGCACAAGCTGGATGAGCTGGAGAACGCCATTCAGCAGGAGAAGGACAAGGTACCCAGAGAGGTGTCAAAAAACAAAAGAGCTGGTGTTTGGTGGTTAGCATGCAGGAGATAGCACCCGCGTGGTTTTTAGTTTGATCTTGTGTTCGCCACTGGTCTGCTGCTGGTGTTTGTCTCTCCAGAGCTTCCTGGTTTCAAAAGGCCAATGAAGGGACAGATAAAGGACCTGATTGTCCTCCACTTGTTTTTACATCTTTTCATCTTAATGTTATTGTTTTTACTGCTGCTGCTCAACCTGCTGACATCAAATAACCATGAACGTATTAATCCCTGCTCAGCTACCCGCCCACCCACAGCAGCTGCAACTAATCTTGCCTGCTTGCAAATTTGAGGATGATGCTCCTAAATGATAGTTTCTCAGAGACACAGTGAGGTGGGTTAGCTGTCCCTTATTTCAGTTTGACCCCTACACGGGAGTCAGCTTTCATCTAAGTAGATCAAAATTTGCCATGAATGCACCAAGGTCGCCACATGGGAAACGACAGTTTAGTCTCTTCAGGAATTAGTGATTCTTCCAGGATGTTTGACATCATGGTGTCAGGATAAATCGACAGCTTCTCTTTCAGTTGCTCAAAGTTTCACTTAAACTGAGCAAAACAGAGAGAGAGGGGGGTGCTGCAGAGTGAGTCTGGCTGTGGGTCCTAGAGGACCTTTTTCCTACCACATCAAGTGTAGATCACAGCAGTTAAAGTACTGAATCAAGTGTTGCTTCAACACAGCCGATGGGGGGGGGGAGGTCGATCCAGTTCTGGGCATGAAACTGGAGCAGCACACTGGGGAGTGCTGGGGTGGGGGTCCGTGGCCAGCGAGAGATGAGTTGAAAGTTTATTTGGCCTGTGTTTTTTTATCTTTTATTTATTTAAAGTCCATAAACTAAAACATAGGTTCGTATATGTAACCGGTTCTGAGCACACCTTCACTGGTTAGTCAAACCAGAAGCAAACGGCTCATATTCTGTCAGAAAATTTCGGGCCTTAAAGAACAAGTCCACTGAGAAAGCAGTTTCTACTTCACTCCTGAGTTTAACATGCACGCTGAACGTGGAAATGGTCTTCTATTTCCTGCATGAGCCGCCGATAGAAGATAAACAGAGAAACACTCTGATTAGAAAGGTCGCTCAGGTCCACTTAAGACTGAAAATTGGGCATTCATGGACTCAACCATCTTGGCTTACAACAAGGAAGGCTGTTGTTGGTTTCAGGAGAGAGGAAGAGCATGTCTCGGCTCAGCTAGTAGAAGCTAACTGTTAGCATTAGCAACTCCAGCACTTGGGTAACTCCTCCAGGCTCGTGGTGTCTGTGGAGATAAAACATCAGCGTTGCAGTGCAAATGGAGTCATAGCTTTTCCCCTCAGTGGTTGATTCAAAAGGCTTTCATGTTGGAGACAAATGTGTTGAAAAAACTAGTGAACTTGGTCTTTAATTACAGTTTAGTCAAAACCTGAGATCTCAGTTACTAACACACAATTACTGCATTTCTTGTATTTTATTTTTTTTTTGCTTGGCATGTATTTTTTGATTGTTTTTCTCTGTCTCTCTGTCTTTCTTGCTCTCCAATTGTCCATCCATCCTGGGTGTGTGTGTCGTGTTTTTCTAGGAGAGGGCTAATGTTGAGGCTGAGCGCCGCACCCTGCAGAGACTCCAGGAGAGCTATGCTGAGCTGAAGAACCAGCTTCATAATTGTCCTGAATCCCTGCGGGAACAGTTACAGGAACAGCTCAAAAGGGTGGGTCAGAGCACGTAGACCACCCGTATCCTCTAGCCTGCAGCCCCCACCACCCCCACCCACAAACACCAGTCCAGTCCCCTCAGCCTGCAGCCACAGATGAGCATCTCATCTGAGGGAGACCTGCATTTAGTAGTAGCTGCAGCCAGGTGCTACAAAGGGCAGCAGTTTACAGCAACACTCTTCACACTTGATGCCCCAGTCACATTATCACCACCCAGCCCCAATTTTGATGTAGTTGTTTTCGTTTGAATAGATTTTCCGGACATTTAGCTGCACATGCTAAGGTTGGGGTCAGGGTTCCTCCCCTTCACCCAGCAGTGATGTAATCTGATCAGACTCCACTGAACTGCATGTGTGACTCTGATGTGCGTCTTTGCTGGTACAAAACATGTTTTATGTAACTTCTCACTAATCGAATGAGACAGACCATTCTGTTTTCCCTTGCTCTCATCTCACTACTACCTTTGTTGAAATCAGCGCTGCTGTTTGGCTCACAGTTGGTCTGTTTGTTTTATGGAATGAAAACTACAGGGAAGAGATTGTAGGCAAATCTGTTGTTACCGTTTTTAAAACTCCAGTATGCTGAGGGAAAGGTTACGTGTTAGCGTTTTTAAAACTCCAGTATGCTGAGGGAAAGGTTACGTGTTAGCGTTTTTAAAACTCCAGTATGCTGAGGGAAAGGTTACATGTTAGCATTTTTAAAACTCCAGTATGCTGAGGGAAAGGTTACGTGTTAGCGTTTTTAAAACTCCAGTATGCTGAGGGAAAGGTTACGTGTTAGCGTTTTTAAAACTCCAGTATGCTGAGGGAAAGGTTACGTGTTAGCGTTTTTAAAACTCCAGTATGCTGAGGGAAAGGTTACGTGTTAGCATTTTTAAAACTCCAGTATGCTGAGGGAAAGGTTACGTGTTAGCGTTTTTAAAACTCCAGTATGCCGAGGGAAAGGTTACGTGTTAGCGTTTTTAAAACTCCAGTATGCTGAGGGAAAGGTTACGTGTTAGCGTTTTTAAAACTCCAGTATGCTGAGGGAAAGGTTACGTGTTAGCGTTTTTAAAACTCCAGTATGCTGAGGGAAAGGTTACATGTTAGCATTTTTAAAACTCCAGTATGCTGAGGGAAAGGTTACGTGTTAGCGTTTTTAAAACTCCAGTATGCTGAGGGAAAGGTTACGTGTTAGCGTTTTTAAAACTCCAGTATGCTGAGGGAAAGGTTACATGTTAGCGTTTTTAAAACTCCAGTATGCTGAGGGAAAGGTTACATGTTAGCATTTTTAAAACTCCAGTATGCTGAGGGAAAGGTTACGTGTTAGCGTTTTTAAAACTCCAGTATGCTGAGGGAAAGGTTACGTGTTAGCATTTTTAAAACTCCAGTATGCTGAGGGAAAGGTTACGTGTTAGCGTTTTTAAAACTCCAGTATGCTGAGGGAAAGGTTACGTGTTAGCGTTTTTAAAACTCCAGTATGCTGAGGGAAAGGTTACGTGTTAGCGTTTTTAAAACTCCAGTATGCCGAGGGAAAGGTTACGTGTTAGCGTTTTTAAAACTCTAGTATGCCGAGGGAAAGGTTACGTGTTAGTGTTTTTAAAACTCCAGTATGCTGAGGGAAAGGTTACGTGTTAGCGTTTTTAAAACTCTAGTATGCTGAGGGAAAGGTTACGTGTTAGCGTTTTTAAAACTCCAGTATGCTGAGGGAAAGGTTACGTGTTAGCGTTTTTAAAACTCTAGTATGCTGAGGGAAAGGTTACGTGTTAGCGTTTTTAAAACTCCAGTATGCTGAGGGAAAGGTTACGTGTTAGCGTTTTTAAAACTCTAGTATGCTGAGGGAAAGGTTACGTGTTAGCGTTTTTAAAACTCCAGTATGCTGAGGGAAAGGTTACGTGTTAGCGTTTTTAAAACTCCAGTATGCCGAGGGAAAGGTTACGTGTTAGCGTTTTTAAAACTCCAGTATGCTGAGGGAAAGGTTACGTGTTAGCGTTTTTAAAACTCTAGTATGCTGAGGGAAAGGTTACGTGTTAGCGTCTTTAAAACTCCAGTATGCCGAGGGAAATAATAATAAAATATTTTTTGTTTTTTTAACTTATGGAATAGTTTCATACAATGAGTAACAAATCTACTTCATGTGAATGACTTTAGCATTTTTGTTTGAACGGATCAGTAACGTAACGTTTTGAGCACACAGAAACCGCTAACCTGTTCCTGCCTGGACCCGAAGCATTTAAAGAACTTTTAATGTTCTTTGAATGCCATTTCATGCAAAACCTCTCAAGTAATTGTTGTTATGATTACCGTAATTTCCGGACTATAGAGCGCACCTCAATATAAGCCGCACCGGGCTAAAAGCCGCAGATATCTACTGAATTGAAAACGTAGTTTAACTGAACGTAACTGAACTGATCAGTATCAAACAAAACAGAAAAGTTATTGACTAGTTTATTCATCATCCTCCTGCACACTGAAACCACTGACGTCATCTTCTTCTTCAGTGTCGGAGCTGAACAGCCTCAGAAGAGCTTCGTCACATACCTTTTCTGTGGCGATGTCAGCGTCGCTGTCATCATCCCGGGGTGAAGCTGGGAAAACAAGCAGCGCCGTTTTACTGTGAAAAAAATCCCCCTGCGTGCTTTCCGTAGCACTCCTTTAACCATTCCTTCATTAGACTTTCCAGCATCCATCCTTTCTGGTTGACTAAAGCCGCACCTCATTATAAGCCGCATGGTTCAAAGCGTGGGGAAAAGTAGCAGCTTATAGTCTGGAAAATACGGTATTTTTCCAAACATACAACACAAAAATTCTCATAAAATGAATAAAGCTGAAGGATATGTAATAAAATACAAGCTAAAGGTGATGAAGACACGTAATTGTAAATTTTTATGGATTTTATATCACATGAAAGTTAAGTTCAGCTTCACTAGTGAAAAGCTGCAGGTAAATGATGCTTTTCTGTGTTTATTGCAGACAATATTAAGGTTGGAGGTTAATCTTTTTTCTCCCAATCTGTTAGTTTATTTTCTCCGCGGGTGTTGCGGCTGTGCACAACACAGAGCAGAGGGAGAGCGAGAGAGCGTTCACAATCGTGTTTTATTACTAAACGGGACCATCAGCTGTAACTGTTGATGGAAATTTGTTGAAAGGAGATGTCCAGGAAGTTTGGAAGCCTGTGTTCATCATGCAAACAAACAGCAGTTAATTAGCATTACTGAGCAGATAGGACTGTACTGTTGCCCAGGAAATATTACTGAGGGTGTTATTCTGAAACCAGGTCTGTATAACCGACGTCACCCTGTACTCTTCATCATCGGTCTTCATCCAGCTGCAGCTGCTGAGGTCAGAGTTGACAGAAATGGGGATTCGTGCTGCAACCCAAGCAATTCATCCGTCTGATTCCAGTTGAACACGTTTGCCGAAAGATTTGTGCAATAATCAGATTTTTATTTTACCTCCACAAAATGCTAATTGTAGATTAAATACTACAGCAAACGGAGACGGCTTGCCAACAAATTAAAAGCCGTCCCTCGTTAATTAGTGCGACGTGTTGGAGACCCCTGTTCTTAGCTGTGTTTGTTTAAATTAGATTTGCTTTGATGTATCGGGACAGACGTCCAGTGGTTTGAGGTAAAATGACTTAAAACAAATGATTAAAGCCATAAACGACTGTGTGTTGGTTAGTAACAGAATGTACTGTTCACCTTCAGTGACGCTGAGTTCTGGAACTTGATTAGACCGGTTCCTTAGAATGGTTTGTTAGTTTATCAGCTGTTCTGTTGCAGATAAGCTGCTGCTTTGGGCTCATGGTTAAGACCCAGTTTGGTCCAAACTTCAGTCTCTCAGACAAGACTAGATACTCTGGTGTGCAGATCCTGTAGACCCAGACCATTAGCCCTCCACTACCGTGCTGACTGCTAGCATCAGCTGTTTGTGCTGACGTGCAGCAATCAAGTTTTCTCTCGTCAGCAGCTCTGCATTCTGGGTAAAGACTTTTATTTTTGTCTCATCTGTCCAATAGCCATTTTTGCTGAAGTCTCATTGGTCATCTTATGTCACGATCATCTTAGAAAGAAAAATTGTTTTCTTGTTACAGAAGCAGCAGCATGCACAGCTGCAAACGTGGAGTGCTGCCCATGATGATACACCTGTGTCCTCCGTGTGAAGTTTCCGCTCTAAAATCTGCTTGTTGTGATGTTTGACCCCAGGTGACCTCTGTTTGAGGCCCACTTCCTGGAGGATTGGAATTATTATTTATGTAGAATCAGAAGCCATGAGTGGACTTTGTTCTGCGTCTTGGTTTTTGTTAAAGAAATGGTATCAGGGTAATGTGGTGGAGACCAGAAGGTATTCATTAATTTATCTTAGAAGAAAAGGAGGTGACTCTATATCTCTGCTTTTAGCAGCCATGTTCGTCTGCCGATAATAGATGGGTTAGACAATATCAACAAGGGACTATTTTATGTTTTCTTGTTTGTTTGCCAACAATAATGTTGTGATGGCTTCATTAGGATGGAGAGATGCTAGAAGCAGGAACCAAAAAGTTTGAGGACCTGGAGTTTCAGCAGCTGGAAAGGGAAAGCAGCCTGGAGGAGGAAAGAGAGACCATCAGCCAGCAGCTACTGCAGGAGAGAGCGGAATACCACCGCAGCGTGGCCAAGAGGAAGGTGAGGACGGGGGGGACGTGAGTTTCTCCAACGCTGTCCCAGTGTGAGCAGGATGGATTTTGGGAATGCTGCAGGTTACAACTTGTCTGGAATAGTTGCTTTGTGAACCTTTTCAGGAGAAGGTGTCAGCTTTGGAGAAGCAGGCGAACCAGCTGGGCCAGCAGGCATCTCAGGAGTGTGAGAGGCTGGCCAAAGACAGGGTGCTCACACTGCAAGTGCTCCAAAAGGTGCTAAAGAGAACTTCTGGCCTTATTTCAGCCTCATGGGAGAGAAAGCAGCAGATGTTCTAGTGTCAGATTTAAAAGTCCTCATCTTATCCTCCTCCAGGAGAAGGAGCGACTGTCCACCCTGGAGAAGAGGTACCTCATGCTGAGTGGAGGAAAAGGCTTCCCCAGGTCTCCCACCGCTCTAAGGGAGGTGAGGAACCACGGAAGGTGTTCGTTCAGACACACACACACACGTTCATTTCACACTCGTCTCATTTAAACATTTAAATCCTGACGAAGCCTTCACGTTAAAGGGTCAGAGGAACGTGTTTGATCCGACTCACCGACGGGGTTTCGCTGCAGATTTAATGTTCATTTATCCTGCTTAGTGTGGAGAGTCTAACATCGTCATCAGAAAACCCAGTGGGGAGACTCCTCCCTTTTAGTTTCCTCTGATGACCCGAACTATCGTTTAGTCTCAGATGTCTTTCATGGGAACTGAAAGCGCGTATCCCTGACAGGAAGTTCTCTGTGCCAGTGAGACCCGCATGCAGTTGGAGGATGTGCGTTCCTCCCAGCGTTCCCTCTGTGGAGCTTCTCCTTTGTTCTTACTTCCCTCCCCTCCCTGTGAGTTGTGTCCCAGCAGCCCTACAGAGGTAACTGACCAGATGAGTCCTGCATGATGCTCACAGCTTCCTGTCTGCTGATTGTGACAGCTCACCCGTCACTGACCAGGGACCTGTAACGTCCAGCAGGTTCAGGGTTTCTCAGCTCACACGGCCTGACTCTTAGTCCCAGAACGCGGATTACACGAAAACTCTGTTTTCCGTCCCAGAGAGACGAGTGAAGCTCTGAGTCTGTCGCCACGGCAAAACATGCTTGTTTCATCTCCCATCTGAAGAACCACCTGGTATTAACCCTCGCCAAGAAAAACTGAAAAGTAGTTTTGGCATATTTTAGGGGGTAAAACATTTCTAGTTATAATGTAAAATGATATTAGTTTATATGGAATGTTTTTCCAGCTGCTCTGAGATATTGGGACTAAAATCAGTCGACCCGCCAGTTAAAGCCTGAAACCATCTGACTGATGTTGCAGCAGAAGGTTTAAAATGATTTATGCCTGAAGAAGACTTCTGACTGGATGTGTTTTTATTTGTTTCTGGTTGGTTTTTCATCAGATCCACTCGTTTATGCTGCTTCTCTGCATCTCTTATCAGTGATGGAATTTATTGAAAATATTGCAATGGTTGTGGATAAAAAACATATTGGAATAGGTGTGTTCATTGATTTACACAAAGCCTTCGATACGATAGATCATTCTTTACTGTTACAGAAATGTGAAAGATCTGGTTTAAGAGGTGTTGTACAACTTTGGTTAAAGAGCAAGTCAACCCCTATCAGAGTCTAACTCCACTCCCACTTCATGTTTGAAAAATGCAACACATGCTGTTGCCTGGCAGACCGAGAGGGCGGAGCCGCTAACAAATACACACACACTCAGGCTCACGACAGCATTGTGACATCATAATGTACCAGTTTACATCATAGCATACTTCTTAGCCAATAGCGGTGGCAGATTTAAATTAAAATACAGTGCAGAGTTTTTACCCGACAACGGCACAACACTGCCAGTTTTAGGCAGAATATTTAAATTTTAACTAAGATGCACTGAAGTGCCAAATTATTGACGACACGTTTCTGCAGCACGATTACACTCGTTTATTTAGTTTATCAGCAAAAAAAGTTTATTTGGGGGTGACTTGCTCTTTAAATAGTTACTTGGAAAGAAGGTTCCAATATGTGAGTATTAATAATATGAAATCTAAACTTAGAAAAGTAACTTGTGGAGTTCCGCAAGGATCGGTGTTGGGACCTAAGCTATTTTTACTTTATATAAATGATATTTGTACAGCTAGTGATATTTTAAAATATGTGATGTTTGCTGATGATTCAAACTTATTTTGCTCTGGAGATAACATAAAGGAATTACTGAAAACAGTGGAAATAGAATTGATGAAGTTTAAATAGATGGTTTGTATTTAATAAACTATCACTGAATGAAAGTATAGCAAAATTTATGTTGTTTGGAGGTATTAAGAGTAATATTCAAGTTAAATTGAATTTAAATAATGTTGAAATTGAAAGAGTATATGAGACTAAATTTTTAGGAGTAATAATTGATGATAAACTTTGTTGGAAGTCTCACATAGATCATGTGAAAGAGAAATTATCAAAGTCTGTTTCTGTTCTTTATAAAACGAGAGATTTATTGCACAAGAGTTGCCTTTATTTACTGTACACTTCCCTTTGCTTGCCTTATATGAGTTACTGTGTGGAAATTTGGGGGAAAACATACAAAACATATCTGGATTCAATTTTTAAATGAAAGCTGAATATAGGGAGTCCACAAACCAATTGTCTGTAGGATCATCTACATTAAAATTTAAGGACATTATATATCTTAAAACTTTAGAAATGATGTATAGAGTGGTGAAAAAGAATGTTCAAATTTATATTTTAAGTATGTTTAAACTAAGAGATGGAAAATATGATTTGAGGGGGTCTGTCATGTTTGAAATACCTAAAGTGAAAACTAATGCTAATTATAGATGTGTGTCGGTTTTGGGAGTGAAGTTATCGAATGGACTTAAGAAAAACTTTAATTTTTCTTGAAAAATGACTTAAAATTTTAATTATTTTTTGTCTGTCTGACTGTCATTAGCATTCTCCAAACACACAGCGCCTCACATCAGAGCAGACAGTCAGCCTCTGTCTGAAAATCAGTCCAATTTAATGTTTATTCATAAAGTTCTTCTACACAGCATTATTAGTCAACTCTTGGTGAGAGTAAAAGCAGCAGAATACTGTAGAAACAGAGTCAACAGTCAACATGAAGCAGTAGCAGGACTCAGACTGCTGTTGGAGTGTTAAATGTCAACACATTGAAATCGATTTAATATTTACAGTAAAAAGTGTAAATTATGAAAAGAATCAGCATTCATTTTCCTACCACATCATTTTAAATACATTTAGTCAGTAAAGCTACTTCCTCTTCCTCCTAGGCTGCTACTGCCTTGTTTTTATTTGTCTTTATTTGGTATGAATGTGACTGAATTCTTCTTCAGGAGCTGTATTGACAATCAATTCTCCCCCCCATGGTTACCATACGGTGCTTACTCATTAGCGTCAGCACGGCCCCAAAAGGTACCGAACGGCACCAGGATTTGGTTTCACACACACGAGGTGTTCCCGCATGTGCGATTCATTTTCATACTGGAAACTGTTGAGTAAACTTCTATCTGTAGCACAGAGCTGCTGTTCCGGAGCTGCCGCTCAGTGTGGGAACGGGAAAAGGGAATAGCTCTGTGTGTGTGTGTGTGTGTGGGTGTGGGTGTGGGTGTGGGTGTGGGCGTGGGCGTGGGTGTGGGTGTGGGCGTGGGTGCGTGTGTGTGTGTGGGTGGGTGGGTGTGTGTGTGTGTGTGTGTGTGTGTGTGTGTGTGTGTGTGTGGGTGGGGGTGTGTGTGTGTGTGTGGGTGTGTGTGTGTGTGTGCCACAAGATTATGAGGATACACACAGCAAATTAATAAAATAATGTGGTTCTGGGTCTCCAAATGCAACACAGCTCATGTCCACCTTTGTTTACCGTAAGGACACCACGGACTTTCCTGCGCGTATTAAACTCCGCCCACAGGCTCAGGATTTCCGCATTCTTGAGAAGTCCCTTGGATTTATGGGTGACCGAAATCACGCCATCCAGCCCGACCAAACCCCGACCGTTCCGACGCTAATGTGTAAGCGCCAATAGTGAATCATGGTATCTGAGATCTATTAGTGATGGCTTTCACTTGATTTAGTAAATGCTCTGAAGTGATCAAACACATGAAAACTTGCTGTTCCGGAACTGAAAACCCAAGTTTTTGCTGTTCATAGGAAGTCAACTCATGGATAGAGCTGAAGATTGTTGAACGTTCTTTCTGGAATACTGCAACCCCCCAACCCCCCACCCCCCCCCCCCCCCACCCCCCCGCTTTATGCTTTCTGGTTTCTGATGCTAGATACATATGCAGTCATATTTAAAAAATAAATATTGCTGCCTTGTTCCAGATCATTCCTGTAAAGGTTAACTAAATATTTCATGTTGAAGCTTGGTTAGGAGGTGCCTGCTCCCGCATCAGGAAACCTTCACCCCACCCCCCACCCCCACCCCCAGTGATGAGTTTACTAGCTGTTAGATGCTGTAAACCAGACCTGGACCAGAAGTGACCTCTCTGAGACTGAGATCCTGCTTCAGTACGGGTTCCTGGTCTCACCTGTGGTGCCCCTGAGGTTCTGTTTCCTGCCTGCTGATTTGTGCAGCGTGTTTGTGGCTGAGTGTGCTTTTCTTCGTCTGCTGTCTCCCTGCACGTTCTGTGGCTGAATAACAATGTCGGATTGTTAGCTCTCTGCGGGGTGTTGACTGTAAGAAAGTTTGACGTTTGTGCTGCTGGAGCGTCTCTGTGTTAAATTGACGTGTCTGAGAGGATTAGCATAGCATTGCCCTCACGGCTTCTCATCCTGTCTGGCTCTTGGCTGATGTTCAGGAGTGCACCGAGCTGTCGGATGTCTATAGGATGTACGGCAGCGGTGACGACCATGAGCGCAGAAAGCCTGGCCCACACAGCCGCCCGTTTGCCATTGATGCTACGTTAGCAGGAGCCTGTGAGGTACCATCACCTGCTGTCTTCTCTCTATCCATCCTCTCATTTTCATGTGACGTCTCCTCTCTCTCTGCTGGTTTGCTGCTAATTAAACTGACCTTGCTCTGTGCTTTGCTGTCAGGGGGCAGCTTCCATGTTTAGAATTGGGAAACTTAAAGCAGCTTTCACTAGAAATGCAATCAGATCTCTGTAAAGGGTAAAAAATGGAGCTATCACTAGCAAAAGTGAAGCAGAGGGTCAGGCGTCATTGTGAACAGTGAGAATCTGAGTGTGTTAAACAGCTGGCCATGTTTTTTACTTAGGATGTTCTCCTGCTGCTGACGTGTCTCTCTCTCCTCCTGCTCCTCTCGTGTGGGTGTAGTATGTCACAGTGGGCCAGGTAAATCAGCTGTATGGGATGCCAAAGGTGGAGTCGTCCCCCACCTCCCCACTTCTTCAGCCCCTGCGGCCCGCCTTCTCCTGCCTCCCCTCTCCTCACGGCTCCTCCCTCTCTCTGTGTGTGGAGGTGTGTGCTGCCCCCCCCCCCCCCCCCCTCTGTACCTCTGGGTGATCTTGTTAAAGACAGTAGACCTTTTTAACCTTTGATCCCTGACATGTTTATTTTTTGACCCAAGTGAAGAAACATTTACCTTCATGATGGTTAACATGACCTCATAGTGAAATGAGAAATTCCACAAATGTTCCTTTAACCCTTATAGGACCTTAGTGCATTATTTTTGTGCTCAAATGACAAAAATATTAGAAAATTAAAGGTTTATGTAAGGGTTAAAAGTGTAATTCTGCTGTGACCCAGGAGCTGTGGAGAATCCGGGAACACCAGAGTTAGTCTGGAGTCCTGTGATGATTACTTACTGTTTAGATTATCAACGTTAAACAGTCAAAGACAACATGGTTGTTAGCAGCAACGTGAGGTGACGCCTCACCAAAAACTTCACTTAGTCTTGTGAGGGTGTCGTTTATCCCGTTTCTCTTGTTCTAATCTTTGTTCTTTTCTCCTCTCTGTTTGGCTTCTGCTCTTTGTTTCTCTGCTCCTCGTGGGTTGCCTCACCTTCAGCAGCCCGAGGCCAGTAAGCCTCACCACCCCAAGCTAGATTTAGAACAGTGGTACCAGGAGCTGATGGCTGGTTCTGGCCGGCTCCGCGTCCCCCCACTGCCAGCCAAGTCCTTGTCAGGCCGCAGGCCGGTGCTGCAGGTAGACACAGTGTGTGTGTGTGTGTGTGTGTGTGTGTGTGTGTGTGTGTGTGTGTGTGTGTGTGTGTTCTGCTATACAGCCCAGAAGTAAAACAAGACCAACTTTTGCAATAACCTGAAATTCAATTTAATCTATAATCCAAATCTGGATGAAAAGAAGTGTTGAAGTTGCTGCCAGTAGCAGATGAGGGGTCACCATGGTAACCGCACAGACGTGTTTCTCGTGAGAGAGGCCTGCAGACAGAGACCCTCAGTATGTTGTACTGACAAAAACAAAGATGTTAGGTGTAAATATCAGTTTATTTGTTTCAACACAAAAATGGTCGGAAGATAAATCGTGTTTTAGCAAAGAAACCTAAACAAAAACGCAGAAGAACTGGAAGCTTTAAGAGTTCTTACAAAGTTCCACAATGATGATCCTATAAAGGAACTAAAAGGGTTTTGTTTAGAGTTACAGAGGCAGTGAGACTCAGGGTAGCATACCAGGATGGATGAACCACCTGGAGCCTAATGTATACGTCTGCGTCGGTGCGGAGGCATGCAGCGCTGTCATCCGCCCTAGCTAGGGCTGTCCAGCACACTCGCACGGACGGATGGAGTCGAACCCACTTTTCTAAACATCCATCCAACCACACAGAGAACGCAAGATTGTGATTGGTCACAAAAACACAAAGAAACCCGTGAATATCTAGCGGCAGACACTGAGCAGCTTACCTTGTGGAAAAACTCTAAAAACATGAACGTTTAATTCCCCCGTGACTGGAGGAGTGAAAAGGTACGCAGCAAGCGTTTCATTCGTGGATGGAAATGACGGGAAACGTTGGGCTTAGAGGTGGCGAGCGCATGAAGAGGTGGAGGAGAATGAGGGGAAAATGTGTTTGTTTACAAAAGTCTCTTAAATTCAACAACAGCACTATCTTGGACCGGATGCATGACAGGATACCACAGAACAGAGCTACGCCCCCCAGTGTCCTGGCGGGGAACTGCTTTACAACACTCCCCAGGAGACAGAGTAAAACGTCTCCGCTCGTGCGTGTCTCTCCCTCGTGGAACTGACGAAGTACAACTTAGGCTTAACCTGACTGAAACCGGCTCTTTCTGTGTTCTGAGTTGATTCATGAGGCAGCATGAGCTCGGGCTGGACGATAGAGAAATAAAGTAAATCGAAGCCAAACGTTCCATATTGGTTGATGTCAATAATTATTGATAACCATGAAAAATGCAGTAAACATATTTTACTGTGTAAAAGATTAAAAGCTAGTTGAGTCTCTACTTGTTTGTGCGTTTTTCAACGCTGCAGCCAGAGAAACCGAAGACTGCAGGTGAATCACAAACAGGCTAAACGGATGCTTAATAAAACATGGTGTTGTTGAGCGGATCGATCTTCTCTGACAGGAATACCTCAGTGATGTTTTATTGACAAAGGAACCGATGATTCAGTCAGTGTTTTAGGTCTGGGCAATTCTTCAGTGGTTGCATCATCTTAATAACTCTTCCTCAGGTGAGTGGGCTTTGTTTTTGTGGAGGAGAAGCTCGACTTCTGCAGGAACCCAAATCATCTTCCAGGTCAGGCTGACAGGCTGACGGCTAAAACAACGGTCCTCCACATAACGCTTTAGCTGTCTGTGTGTTTGACTTTGGCGCAGAGGGCATGAATGCTTTTCATTCATTTGAACATCAGGATATTATTGTGGACCAGACTCCTTTGTGTCTAACTACAGTCTGGATGATGTGATGTCATTCAGTCTTGATTTATTTATCTGCGTTTAACTGGAGCTTCTTCACTGTCTAATTTCCCTCCTCAGGTGTTTCGCTCCAAACTGGACAGCGATCCCGGTCTTTCGGTCCACCAGCCCAGGTCTGGCTCTGCGTCCCCCCTGCACCACGGAGCAGCAACACTAGGACGCAACACAGGCTCCAAGGTAGAGCAGCGGATGGCTTTTCAGCAGGTGCAGCCATAAGCCTTTTAGATGGGAATCTGTGTGTTTAGACGGTTTGTTCTGACCTGACAGAGCCCCATGTTGGCTGTCGGTAACACCGGAAGTCTGCCGAGGAACCTGGCTGCAACCCTTCAGGACATCGAGACCAAGAGGCAGCTTGCTCTGCAGCAGAAAGGTAACGGTGCTGCGGTCTTCTGAGGTTACACACCAAACCCAGCGTCCAGGAACCATGGGTACAGATCTGATTACTGATGAACAGTCCCAAGCCCAGGCCAGCCTGAGACTTGTTTATCCTCGTGTCTTCAGCGAGTTGTTTAAGAGGGTTAGAAGATGCTGGAAGTGTTGAGTCAAAGTTCTTTACTGCAGGTAAAGATAATTTAAACTATGGTGGTGGTGCAGAGGCTCTACCCTTCCAGCCTCACCCACATTCAGACAAGGTTTATGCTCTAATGTGGCTTCTTTTCCTTCCATTCAGTCATTTTAAGAAGACATTTTGTTTTAAACGAAACAACAGTCAGCAGCGTGTTTGCAGGCACCTACATCCCACAGATCAGTGATTGTGTTTAACTTAAGTAAGAAACATCTGAGCCTGATTCCTGGTGTTGATGCATCAAAGGGTTTGCTCACTTAGACCGGCTGTTCGTCTCCTCTTAATCCTTTATCTCTATTATGGTTATTAACACACTCACACCGTCTCTTTTCTTTTTAATATCTAATCTTCTCTCTACTTTAATCAAACTGCTCTGAACGTTCCTGCTGCTGGAGAGTAAATATTACATGTGGAGCTCCTTCCTCGTGTTTCTGCTCCTAACCAGCTGGAAATCTGAGACCTGGCTTTTGTTTCAGCCTGTCGGGACCTCGTGGGTTAGAGCTGGTTGCATGTGTGCTGCATGATTATGGGCTGTAGCTCGTTCTGGTTCACACTTCTGTGGATCTGCACCACTAGCTATTTGGTTGGTGTGACAGACTTCTGACATCCCCCACTCCCCTTCTCCTCCCAGGTCAGCAGGTGATTGAGGAGCAACGCCGTCGTCTGGCTGAACTCAAACAGAGAGCTGCAGCAGAGGCTCAGTGCCAGTGGGAGGCGCTCCACAGCTCCCAGCCTCACCTCTTGACCTCTTACTCTCCCGCCATGGCCTACAGCCCAACGCTGAGCCACGGCTCCATGGGCCCTCCTCCTCTGGTGCACCACTCCATCTTACACCACCAGCCTTCATCAGCCGGGGAGCAGCCGTACGACACGCTGAGTCTGGAGAGCTCCGACAGCATGGACACCAGCGTGTCCACGGGGAACAACTCGGCCTGCTCACCTGACAACATCTCCAGGTGGGGAGCAGCCATGTATTTATGGGGTTGGATCTGATCAGTAGGGCTGTAGCGACGCATCGATGACGTCGACGGCTCGATTCTAAAAATTCGTCGACGTCAGATCCGGTAGTCGACGCACCGCGCCCACTTTTGTAAATAGAGGTGGAATCTGCCTGTTTTTCCTCTAGTTCGCCCTCTTCTCCGCCTTCACTCACATCTCCACCAAATACCGAAGACCCGGAACAATGTCCGTCCGCTACTAGATTATTTTCCTGTTTTGCCCGCCTTCGTCTCCCGGCAACAGACAACAACTTCCCGGATTAGATGCGCTGCTCCGTCTCTACCGCAGATGTAGAAAACCACCGGGAGCGTTTCTCCCTTCATTAAGGAGCTTCTTTCAGACATGAGGAGAGCTGTTTTGGTGGTAGCAGTCTCTCCTCCGTGCTGGTCTGTTTGCTGCTGGGTGTTTTTGGTTTATTTAAACTTGGTAACTTGAACTTAACGTCGGTAAAGCTACTGTTAGCATTTTCGCTAACAGCTTCTTGCGTTTGGATAAGCTGTTATTTGGTTTAGAGTTCATCTTTTTTGTGGTGCAGATCTCCCTTTTATTACATTTAGAGTGTTGTGGGTTTTTGGTTTAGTTTAAAATATCACCTCGAGTTTGGTTTAACCGCCCAGTTTAGAGTTTGCACCTTTGGAGATCCTTATTTTGGTCCAGAACCCAGTAATCTTTGCCCAGTGGGACATCCCTACTTATTCGTACTTTTGTTTTAATTCCCCACAGGCAGAATTAGTTTTATTATTCCCAACCTGTGGATGGAAAGATTTATGATTTTTTTTGTTGTTGTAAATAAACCTGATCATCATTTTAACTTTTAAATCCCCTTATTGTCCCTTCCTTTTTGCACACGAGCCAAACTCCCCAGGAAGAGTCGTAACACCACTCGCCTCACGCACATGTGACCAAAACAAAGCAACGTGGAGACTCTCCGTCTCCAACCACCTCTCAGGCAGCAGCCTGCACTCCCAAGTTCTGCACGTCACCAGAACATAACCAACCAACACAATAAAAGCAGTGTTATACAAAATGGAAGACCTGTAGTGTTTATTCTCTTACAGTAACAATTTATCAATTTTTTTGAGAAATTTATTTGAGATTTTCTGGTTTTTATTAATTGTGCAATAGAAAAATAATCGCTAGATTAATCATCTAAATAGTCATTAGAATAGTTTGATAAAATAATCGTCAGAATAATCGTTTTAAAAATAATCGTTTACCCCCAGCCCTACTGATCAGGTCAACTTAATAAAGTAGATAGACACATCCAAACTGATCTATTTAACCGTGCAACAGGTGACGGAAACACTTCATAATGAACCAAACACATGAAATGTTCCAATGGACCATCTGAGACACCACACCGGTCCTCTGAGGGTCCGAAGGTCGTCGTCTGCTCTGAGCTCTGATAACTGGGTGGATGTGAGGTGGTTGGAGGCAGACGGTGCTCCTCTTTATCTACATGTGCTCTCTGATAAATGAGAGATCTCTGCTGCTGATCAATACAGCACAGCTGATGAAAGCCTCACGTTTACTGTTGTAACACCACTTTTTTGTGAAGATTTGTTCTCTTTCATGTTGATCAGAAAAGAGACCATTTCAGACTCTTTTCTCCACGTGAAGGGAATTCTGAAGATGATGAATGTTCACTAGCGGCACCTTAACCAGACAACAGCTGTTGTGACTTAACTAAGCGGTGTGTTTGACAGCAGCGTGGGGGGAGTGGACGTCCTGAAGATCGAGGAGATGGAGAAGATGCTGAAGGAGGCGCAGCTGGAGAAAGCCAGACTTATCGAGTCACGGGTAAGATCAAAACTCATGCCTTCTCTGTGACGGATGAGTCTGTCGACGGCCCTTATCGATTAACTTTAAACTAAACAGGAATTTTAAAAAACAGAAGCTCATGATGGATGTGGCGACTGAAATTCATTTTTATTAGCTTGAAAACGTATTTTTGTGCTCCGATGAAGCAGTTTGGTCCGATGTGCGAATGTCCATGAAGATGATTAATGGACCTGATTTATAGAGCTTCTCTAGCCTCTACACACACACACACACACACACAGACACACACACACACACACACACACACACACACACAGGGGAGCAACATTCTGATTGGCAGGTGGCCGTGACTCCCAGCCATCCTTTAATGATCCGGCCCATCTTCTTGTGTCTGACTCCTCTCCTCTAAAAGTCTGAGTGTTGAAGCAGACCTGCGTGTGAGTATGTAGAGGTGACTCACGAGTATTTAGTCGTTTTTCTACACGTCTGTGAAGAAAAACTGATAAAAACCCAAGCGTCGCCTCATGCGAGCTGCCTGATGCTTTCTACAGAGCAACCCTCCAAAGCAGCCACTGCGGTTGAGCTGCAGGATCCCTCATAAATGTACGAATGTGGTGCTGTGACAACAGGAGTCTGCACTCTGCATCCAAAGTTCAAACCAGTATCTAATGAAAGCTCTGCTGCCCCCAGGAGCGAGAGAGCCTCGCACGCCATCAGATGCTGGAGGAGGAGAGGAGGAGGAGGGAGGAGGCAGAAATCAGACTACAGGATGAAACGTTCCATCGACAGCAGCTGGTGGAGAAAGAGGTCAGGCTGAGGGCCAAGAACTTCTCACAGGTCAGTCGAGTGAGGCTTAGGAATGACCCTGTTCTGACACTCATGGAGCAAATGCAGCTTTGTTATAGTTTCAAAGAAAACAGGATTTAATTTCTACCTCTGTGCGTCTTTGTCCACCCAGGCCCGCCCCATGACTCGCTACCTGCCCATCAGGAAGGAGGAGTTTGACCTGCGCTCACACATTGAGTCGTCGGGCCACAGCGTGGAGACGTGCTACCACATGATCCTCACAGAGAAGATGTGTAAGGGGTACCTGGTGAAAATGGGAGGCAAGATCAAGTCATGGAAGAAGCGCTGGTTTGTGTTCGACCGCCTCAAAAGGACCTTCTCCTACTATGTTGGTAAGACTCTTGTGTGTTTGGACTGGTTCTGGCTTGTTGTGGGTCTGCTGTAGAGCACGAGTCTCGAACTCGGGCTGGGTGATGACTTCATATTGGGATTTACACCAACACACCATATTTATCTCAATATTTCAACTGTCTGCCCTTAACCACTGAATGAATGTTTGATTCAGTGCTATAAGTCAATGCAGCAGACCCAGGACACGCCTCATCAGAACCAGCTCGTGTTTCGTTAGAGGAACTGAGTAGAACAGGCTCTGTAGGTTCACATCGAAGCACATTCTGACCACAAAAGTGATAAAGTAGTTAACGTTGTACCACTGAGTAAAACCTCATATTCGCCACAATCCTAGAAAAGCCGTTCAGCTGCTGTTTAGATGAAGTAACGCCACTTGCTCTCTAATAGTAGAGAGTAGAGTACTTGCATTCACTTTGGCGTTGTCCGTGTGAAGTGGATCCGATTTTTCAGCCCTGCATTGCTGCGATCCGTCTCGTGCTGAGCCGACCTTACACCCCTGTGGTACTCACTCTTTGTCTTGGAGGGCCAGTATCCAGCATGCTTTAGCTTTAACTCTGCTTCAACACACCTGAATTCAGTCACAAGCGATTAACAGGCTTCTGCAGAGCCTGATGAGCTGCTCTACAGGTGATTCAGTCACTGAATTAGGTGTGTTGGAGCAGAGGAACAACGAAAACATGCTGGCTCTCCAGGACCAGGCGTGGGTACCGCTGTACTAGTGGGAGCCTCTGATTGGCACAGGTAGAATCAGCCAGTGGCAGCTTCCCGCATGTGCGATCCAGTAGCAATCTGGATTCACGGAGTTAAACATCATTTCTGACGGCATCTCTGACCAACCGTCTGCTGTGAGCGCTCTTGGACGGGAGAGGAGCCCACGGCAGCACTGCTGCTCGGTGAGAGAGTAGGAAGTTGTACTCCTCATGTCAGAGTCTCCATGAGCAGCATTGCTCACGCACGCTTTTGTTTACTAACTTGTTCCTGAGAAGGCTGTGTAAACACAACCTGGCCGTGCGGTGCTGGGATGTCCCCACCTGGCTCAGACCAAGCTGATCTAGTAACAGTTTCACATCTGGCCAAGCACGGAGCTGACTGGGTAGCTTTTAAAGTGTTCACATCTAGGTAGCCTTATATTTTTCTGTTGCTCATCTGGTCAGTTTTTCAGCCATCAAACCAAGGCAGTCCGCTTTGGGCTGAACTGGTCCAACACTGATTGGCTGGCTCAAATTCACACCTACCATTAGGGGGAGCCTCCGATTGGCTGATGGCATTAACCAGCAGGGGCTTTCCGCATGTGCTATTCATTAGATTCAGATTCAGAGTCTCCAAAACCAATGCTGCTCACGGCCGCCTTTGTTTAAGGGAGACACCACCGACTTTTCCATGCATCTGTTGCCCCGCTCACATGCTCGGAGATCTCCCTGTTCCTGAGAAGTGTGTGAGATCAAACCCGGGACGCAGATCAACACCACCCAGCCCTGTTTGTGCTGGCCCAGATGGGTGTAGCGTTAAGGAGTGGCTACATATGTAACAAATGATCAATAAGATGTGATAATTCCATATAGATATGAATATCAATCTGATTGATCTTTGAACGAGTAATCAGAAGATTTCTTCTTTTACTTATTCAGGGACCATAAACGCACTTCATATTAATTCAGACAGAGTCAACATATAGTTTATAAAAATGAATTTATTTCTTTTTCCCTAAACTATGATTATACAAAACAAGGTATGAATAATGGTGTAATGTAATGGCTATGAAGTGGTTTAATGTGAAGCTAGATGTTTTAGCAAAACCTTTCTTAAGTATCTGAGAGAGTTTGTGGAGTCTGGGGTGTAAAATAAATGTGGTTGTATGTTTGTAAACTAGAGATTTGTTTATAAAACCATTCAACGCAATCTGTTGAGTCTACGCACCCTTTGTGTAGAGATCCCCGTTCAGATCCAGGGGGTCATGAGGTCGGGATGGGCATGGACCTCTAGGTACCAGGAACTCGTAGATTAGCTCCGATATGACCCGTCTAGTCTTGAGATACCTCCAGGTCACAACAGGAAGCTGGAATGCTTGTTTGTGTCTAAGGCTGTTCGTTGGCTCTTAGAACAGTCGTTTTGTCTGATATCACCAAGCGTGGCAGAGGCTTTGACATTATGTCAAAAGATAGGGTGGTTTCAAAAATGCTTTTTCCACCAATTTGGCCAAATCGGAAGTCAGCTGGAAACAGAATTAATCAGGAAGTAATTCCTGTTTTAATAAATCCCATTGTTTATCAATTGGGCAAATCCGAATTTGACACGTTTGAGGGCATTATCAAAAATACCTCAGTCACTCCTTCCGTCAGATCCCCAGAGAGGTTAGTCTCTGCTGCATGAGACCTTGACTGACAATGTTATGTCTCAGGTCTGGAGCGGAGTTCTTTGTTTTGGCCAGACAGATGGTGTTTTTGTGTCTGCAAATGAAGGTTAAATTCTGGTCAATTTGTTGGTGAAAATGTGACCACCACATTTCATGTGAACTGGCCATTAGTGTAAGGCCCTGTCCACACGTAGCCGGGGATCTGCCAAAACGTAGATATTTTTCTACGTTTTGGCCTGTCATCCACACGAAAATGGAGTTTTTTTCACACGAAAACGGATCTTTTTAAAAACTCCGGCCGAAGTGAAGATCTGCGTTTTCGCCGTTTTGGGTGTCTGCGTGTGGACAGACAAAACCGGTGTTTTAAGGTCTGCAACGTCACTTTCCGCAACAAAAAATGCTGACATCACGTGTGCGACCTGTGTTTACACTAGCCGACAGCATGGATGTCCTCAGAGCTGCGCTCGCTTTATCAATTGTCCAGGCGCTTTTTACTTGTTTATTTTTGCAAGCGGAATTACTGCTCCTTGTGGAAGACCACAGACGAAGGACGAGGTTAAGAACGGGGGAAGTACTGCCGCCTACAGGTCTGGCATGTCCTTAACAACGTATTTATCCGGGTACGTGTGGACAGAGTTTTTGTTTTAAAACGAGGTGGTGTGGATGCAGGTTTTTGGAGGGGCGGATATTCGTTTTCAAAAACCCCGGCTACGTGTGGACTAGGCCTAAATGGGCCATAGGTGGCCAAGATTTTGGTTAATTGTCCTACTCTGAAGTTGTGTGAATGCACCATTAATACATGGAAAGCATCAAATCTGGAAAACTGGAAACACTAGCCACAGACATGCACCAGTAATTTCTATTACGGTAATTAATTTGCTAGTTTGGTTTTTTACTTGTTAATTTGAGGCTGATTGTTGTACTTTACGACCCAAGTTCACAACTTTTCTTTTTCTTCGGGCAAACAAGTCAGAAAGTTCACGGAGGAAAATCTGTCAGAGTAATAATAATAATACATTTTATTTAAAAGTGCCATTCAGGACACTCAAGGTCACTTGACAGGAAAATACAAGCAGTAAAATACATTAAAACAACAATAAAAAACAATGAATAAAAGAAAATACAAAAATAAACAATTCAAATAAAATCTGAGATCATAGGCAGATTTGAACAGGTGTGTCTAGAGACTGGATTTGAAAAGGGTGAAACTGTCAATATTTCTGATGTCTGGGGGAGTGAGTTCCAGAGATAGGGAGCAGAGCGGCTGAAAGCTCTGCTCCCCATAGTAGTGAGATGGGCAGAAGGAACAGCAAGATTGAGGGAGGAAGATGATCTGAGGGAACAGGAGGGGGTGGTAATACTTATAAGGTCTGACATATATGGAGGAGAGAGGTTGTGGATGGCTTTAAAGGTATGGAGGACAATCTTGAAGATCGACCTGAATTTAACTGGAAGCCAGTGAAGCTGCTGGAGAACCGGGGTGATATGGTGAAGGAAGGTGTTCTGGTGATAATACGGGCTGCTGAGTTCTGGACCAGTTGAAGTTTATGAAGGAGTTTGTAGGGGAGACCAAAAAGAAGTGAATTGCAGTAATCGAGACAAGAGGTGACAAGACTGTGGACAAGAATGGCGGCAGTGTGAGGGGTAAGGGAGAGGCGGAGACGGTTTATGGACCAAAGATGGAAATAGGCTGACCGAGTTATGTTATTGATTTGAGCATGAAAAGAAAGTGAGCTGTCGAAGATGACACCCAGACTCTTAACCTGAGGGGAGGGGGAGACTGTGGCGCTGTCAATAGTTAAAGAAAAGCTGTCAGATTTGGAGATGGTGGATTTGGTACCAACAAGAAGAATTTCAGTTTTATTGCCGTTGAGTTTGAGGAAATTAGAGGTGAACCAAGATTTGATTTCTGACAGGCAGAGTGTAAGGGAGGAGGGTGGGAGAGTGGAGTTAGGTTTACTGGAAATGTAGAACTGGGTGTCATCCGCAAAGTAGTGAAACTGGATACTAAATTTGCGGAAGATATTGCCAAGAGGGAGGAGATAGATTATGAAGATGAGGTGCCCCAGGACAGAGCCCTGGGGCATGCCTGACTTGACTGGGGAGGGTTTTGAGGAGAAGGATTTTAACTGGATGAACTGAGTGCAGCCGGTAAGGTAAGAGTGAAACCAGCGGAGGGGGGTGTGAGTGATACCTAAGGAAGAGAGTCTGTTGAGGAGGATGGGATGACAAATGGTGTCGAAGGCCGCACTCAGATTGAGGAAAATGAGAATGGAAATCAAACCAGAATCAGCAGCAATGAGTAGGTCATTGGTGAATTTAATGAGAGCTGTTTCTATGCTGTGTTGGGGACGGAAACCAGACTGAAATTGTTCATAAAGGTTATTGTGGGTCAGATGGGAGTGGAGCGGAGATGCAACGGTTTTCTCTAGGACTTTGGAAATGAAGGGGAGATGGGAAATGGGACGGAGATTATTGAAATCATTCGGGTCTGAACCAGTTTTTTTCAGTATAGGACTGACTGAAGCAGATTTGAAGTGGGAGGGGACCGTTCCAGATGATAGTGAGGAATGAATAATGACTGTTATAAAGGGGAGCAGGGAGGAGGGGCGGGACTTAACTAAAACT